ATATTCATAAGTTTCATGTATATTTGCCTAAGTAGAGAGAGTCTCAGCTCATAACTTATTAAGGAAGTTAGGATTCAGAATTTGGATTAGCAGACACATGTTTGTTTCTGATTTACAGTCTTGATATTTTTAAGTTTCTGAAACCATGATGAAACCTGCCATAAATTCTATGTGTGCATTTTCTGTTTTGTTGAGAAATGACTAAGCTGCAGATGCTCTGATTAGCATGGAGAAGGAGATGAAATACATCATCAGAACTTACTTTGTGTTATATGTTTATGTTTTTGCTTATAACGCCAGATGTATAGCCACCCTAATGGTAGAGAGCGCATGCATAAAACATTAGTGCCAAGGGTCCTGAGTTCTAGCCCCAGAAACACCCTTTTTGTGTTTATTTCTTAACATTTTTACCCCATTAGATGGATCAGAACTTCTAGGTCAATCCCCTTTAGTTGTTTGTTAAAACAGTGATCATAGGCCAGAACTTCTAGACATTCCCACCCAACAGCATTGACACCTCACATACCCATTCAAAACTTCTAGTTTTCCAATAACTCTAGAGCTTCTAGATTTCCAACTACATCAGAACTTCCAGATTTTCTCAACAACCAGAACTTCTGACCTTCCAGTAGCACTAGAACTTCTAGGAAGTCAGTTACATCAGAACTTCTAGGATTTCCCTTGTTCCCAACAACCCCAGAACTTTAATGTACCCGGATCCAGAACTTCTGACCTTCCCTTTTCCTACTAACATTTCTTTTTTTTGTAGCATATCAGAATCAGAACTTCTGTTCCCTCTCATTTCAGCAACGTGCTGATTCTGACCCCTTTTCCTCTTATTACTCTATTTTATCTTTAATAATCGAAGAAACTAAAAATATTTCTACATTCACATACTTTATTTTATCTCTTTTAAAGCCCAAAGGACCAAAAATATTTTCTCAAGCAAACTTATTTCTTTTCTTAACAAAAACCAAACAAAAATCCTTTCTTTTTTTTACATCCTTGCACATTATATTTATTCATTTCTTGTACATTATTCAATATGGTTGTAATAGATAATTAGGTTTAATTTCTTGCAATCCCCATTTGTAAATTTGTATACCCCGTCCTCAAATGATGTAATAGCGTAGTAAATTTATTTTCCGCAATTTATCGCTTTCATATAAATGCTAGTAATTAAGGTTTGTATGGAAAGGTAAAATTAACAAGTAGATAATCCTAATCAAAGATTAAATGCATGCAAATCAAATACACTACTCACACATGCACCCTTAAGGTTAACTCCACTTGTTACCTGAAAAATGGTATGTTATACATGTGAGATGTCTTAGTAAAAACAATAAAAAAAATACAAGATCATAGTCCCTCGATGACGCTATAAATTTGCCTTTCAAATGATCTTAGTCCCTAAAAGAGAAATGCTAAGACATCTTACAACATTGCTATCATGACTATACGATGACCCACGCCCGTCCCTTTACATCCAAAGATAAGGCTTTTTACCAATCAATGGTAAGATAGCAATATCAAAGAAAAGAAGAAATGAACAAAGACTTTTGAGTAGGTAGAAACGTTCTTAGTTGCTTGCTCGCTTTCAAAACAAACACCCACCAAACACTTTCAAAACATGAAATATTTTCAAAAGTCCAACACTTTGTATACACTCTCGCCGAAACGAGAATCATTACAAAGTTTGCCTAAACGAAGGCGCCTTTTTAAAAATACTTTCAAGAACCACCACAAAGCACATTTTCAAATAAAGCAAGTGATCTAGCAAGCAACTAAGAGCCCATAGATAACTATGGATGAAAAGGATGCTAATACCTTTCCTTTTCATAATCTACCCCCCTAACTCAAGAAATAATCTCAAAGGTCTTTCCTGTTCTTTTCAGTCTTTCCTTTTGGATAAAAAGAAAAGTCGGTGGCGCCTCTTGCTAACCGTAACAATTGCGATCAAACGCAAAATATTTCAAGTCAGTTCTCCCACCGTATTACACTTAACATCTCCTTCGTTTGACACCTATTTAAAATGTATATTATTGTCGAAGCTACTTCAGCCCAAAATCTATTAGGCATATCTTTAGCTTTCAACATACTTCTTGTCATGTTCAGTATACTTCTATTCTTTCTCTCAGCTATGCCATTATGTTGAAGTGTATAGGATGCAATAACCTCATGCTCTATACCTTCCTCATTGCAAAATCTATCAAATTCAACAAAAGCATATTCATCACCACCATCAGTTCTCAACTTCTTTAACTTGAATCCACTTTGTTTCTCAACATGCAATTTGAACTTTTTAAACGGTGTGAATACCTCACTCTTCCTTTCAATAAGTTAAATCCACATATGTCTGGTGAATTCATCAATGAAAGTAAGAAAATACTTGTTACCTATATTTGACTTTCCTTCGAAAGTTCCACACACATCAAAATAAACCATCTCTAGTTTTTTCTTTGATTTCACGGGCAAGTCATGTTTGAGTGCTTTCTTAGATTTCTTTGCTTTACAACATTCCTCACATACCTGATTCGGTTCCTTTACATAAGGTAACCCAAACACCATCCTTTTCTGGTTGAGCATGCCTAAACTTCTAAAATTTATATGTCCATACTTGTGGTGCCACAACCAATTTTGTCTTCTTCTATAGTTGAAGCAAGACACTTGTGATCTGATGTGTTGAGTTCAACTTTGAATGTTTTGTTTTCTGTCAATGGTGCTTTCATTATTAGCCTCCCATCAGCTCTATATACCTTCATTTGATTCTTTTTTAGTTTCATATTGAAACCTTTTGTAAGTAATTGACCTACATTTATCAAGTTACTTGTCATAGAAGGTACATACACACTTCGGCGATGGTGGCCTTTCGACCATCCTTTCTGACAATTAAATATCTCCTTACCATCTGATTTGATGTGTCTGCCATCTGCAAATTTTATCACCTTTTTGACTTACTCATCTAACTTGGTAAACTAGTTTTTATTGTCAGTCATGTGATTTCTGCATCCTGAATCCAGATACCACATGTTGGTTTTCTCAGTGTTCAACTGAGTGTTAACCATCAACAACACATCATCAAAATCACTATCTCCAGCTCATGCATATTGAACTTCATTGATATCTTTCGCCCTTGCTACTTTCCTTCTTCGATAGTCTCGAGCATAGTGACCAAAACCTTGACAATTGTAACTACACCTCTTTCGTGTCAACTTTCTTCCCATAATACTTGTTACCCATACCTTTCTTGATCAAATCAGTATTCTTGCTTGACTTCTCATCACTAGCCAGATTATTTCGCTGCTTCGACTTCTCTTTACCATATTTCTTGATGAATCTTGATTGTAGTGCCTGTTCAGCCACCTTCTCTCTTTCTTAGTTTCTCTGCTTCAACCTCATCTCATGAGCCTCTAGAGAAGCTTGAAGTTCTTCTAACTTCATCTCATATAGAGTCTTGGCTTCTTCAATTGTCACTATAATGTAATCAAAATTTGCAGTCAAAGATCTCAACACTTTCTCAATCTTCTGCACATCCGTAACTGATTCACCACATGCCTTCATCTGGTTTATTAACGTCACAATTCTTGAGAAGTATGAAGAGATCGATTCATCTTCTTTCATCTGAATCATCTTGTATTGCTTCCTCAATGTCTGCAACTTCACCTTTTTGAATTTTCCATCTCCACCATACAAGTTCTTTAACTTTTCCCAAGCTCATTTTGTCGTTTCTTCTTCAATTATCTCCCCAGACACGTTAGAATCCACACATTGATGAATCAAGAACAATGCTTTACCATCCTTCTTCCTTTGATCCTTGTGTGCAGCTTTCTGAGCATCTGTCGCATCTGCTTCCAGTTCTGGTAATCCATCATTCAAGGTTTCAACAACATCTTGAAATCTGAAGATAACCTTCATCTGTGCAACCTACCGTTGATAGTTTTTACCTTTGAAAACCGGTAAATTCGCTGAAAATTACGTTGCCGTTGTTGTTCCGTTTGCCATTAAATTCTCTCTAAATCACAATCGAGCTATGTGATATCAATTTGTTGGAACAAAATATTTTCAAAAAAGAAGAGTGTAGAGAAGAAGGAGAAGAGAGAGTATATCAACGTTATAAATTTCTCTGTTTTAAAATTGAATTGTGTATGTATAATACAAACTACTCAGCCCTTTATATAGACTTACAAAGTCCAAGCCCAAACAATTCGACATACTACTCCAAATACTTCGATAGAGTAAGAATTACAACTTCTAACATTTATGACATCTTAGTGTACGACGACAACAACAACAATCAGTCTCACATCAATCATTTGAGGATTGTGTTAGAAGTGTTAAGAATGAATATACTCATGGTCAATGGAAAAACTGTTGTTTCGGCATGATTCAATTAGAATATTTGGGCCATATCATATCTTCTAGAGGATCGTTGCAGATTTGGAGAAAGCTAAAGTGATGAATGAGTGACTGTTGCTTAAAAATATGAAGGGTTTGAGAATATTTCTTGGCTTGATGAGGTATTATCAAAGGTTTGTGAAGAATTATGGGATAATAGTGAGGCCCTTGACCCAAATGCTGAAGAAGGCCAACTTTCGATGGCATGAGGAAGCTCTGAAATCTGGAGTTGTTATAAGAAAACGTGTCAGACATACCACTTTTGACTATGCCTAATTTTCAACCACCCTTAGAAATTGAGACAAATGCATAATGGTTATGGTTTAGGAGTAGTAGTACTTATGCAGCAATGGAAGCCTTTTTCTTTCTTCAGTCAAGCATTATCCGAATGAAGGGGAATGAAAAACAATAGTAAAATTAACAGAGCTCAAATGCCAAAGTAACACAACAACAATATTCACTTTCATCTTTTATACAGCCAAATAACTTCCTTGTAATTGTAAACAACAGTAATATTAACAGAGCTCAAATACCATGGTATCATCATTATGCTAGTGGTTTCTAATTTACATTTCATCACATATGTACAATCAAAAACATCAACCTTAGCTATTTGGTGAAACCGACACATTCATGCTGCAAACAACGTCAGTCTCGGGTAGATTTCTAACCTCATTAAGAATCCTATTAAGTTCTTTTGTCAGTTCTCTGTGGACATAGTCAGACCGCTCCTTTGTAACTGATGATTCCGACAACAAAGTTTCAACTAGAGATTGATATTCTTGAAACCATTCCCTACCAATAATACTTTGGTTGTTGTAACGCTCATCCTCGACAAGTAAAGAACATTCGCGACGCCATCTACTTAAATAGTATTTGTCAGGAAGATGAAAGTAACTCTTTATTATAAGTACATGAAGAGCATGTCTGCATAATATCCCTGACGATTCAAACTCTTTGCAAGAGCAGTGTATCTGTTCTTCTTCCGCCAACCATATCACAAACCGATCTCCATCCAACCTTCTGAAGTGTCGTATAGCATATGATCCATTGGCCATTTCAGATGTAGAGTATTGCATTGCCAACAATAACTCTTGTTGCAAAGAATTGAAAGCATACGGCGTGAGTATGCTCCGCGCGTGCTCTTCAATTGGTATGTAGGTTTTGAGATTTGTATATTGAGTCTCGTATTGTGATTGACGACGAAAATTTGCAGAAATACCAATCTGCCACAATATACACGAGAGGGGAGAAATGTCACAAGAGCATGGTTATCAAATTCAGATTCAAATCATGAATAAGAACACACCTACTTTCTAAATCGTAAATCCAGATTCAAAGCATGGTTAACCAACATACCTGTTCAAAGAAGCTACGCAAACATGTATGTTCAGTGAAGATCCCTTCAAAAAATGCGTCTATAGACTTGGAATAAGCTTCTGCCGCCATTTGAGCTAAAAAATAACCTCTCACATATGATTGTGCCCAGGAAGCTCGAACCGAATACAATAAATCAATATGTTTATCTGAACCAAGTCCAAACATTGAAATCATTTGGCTCCATTGATGTTCAAATTCTTCTGCATTCTCAATTTGAAATAACGCATTGAACTCTGATTGAAACTCTACAATGCGAGATCCAAGAGGAAGAGAAAACCAACTATGTACCTTGTTCAAAATATTCCACAGCGGAATTACATGTTTAGTTCCTTGAAATTCGCTTCTAATTGCATCTCGAAGACTAGAGTCAAGATCAGATATAATTGTTTGTGGACATCTTCCTCCCATGAACCGGAGAAAAGTCTGTATTTAGGAATAATCATCGTAAGCGGAAAATTTATGAAAGCACAAGTAAAATCGCATACAGATTATGCTAATAGTTTAAAACCTGTAATGCCCATGAGAAGGATTGCAGTGTTTCGTCTTGGAGTAAAACACAACCGAACAAAATTATTCTACCACAATTATCAATCCCAAACCACACTCCAAAATGCAATCCGTAAGCGACGGATCGATAAGAGATGTCAAAATAAATCACATCACCAAACAAAGCATTGGCATTAACAGAATCACCATACGACCAAGCTATATTTTCAACTTTGTCATTCTTATCGACTGTAAAATCATAAACAAACTCAACATCAGCTTCTTTCACGGCTTTACACACCTCAAGAAGTTCCAAAACATCATTTTCTCTTTTCTCACTTAGCAGCGCCTCATTCTCTTGAACAACCTTCTTACGATTTTGTACAAAGTTCCTCACATCCCTTTCCAAGAACGGCAAATGCCCACCTTGAATCCCTTTTTCCAGCTCAAGCATCTTCACTATCCGATGAATCGGAAACCCAGCTTTCGAAAGCAACAATATCCGCTCTTGATCAGCCTCATGAATCTTCCGATACGCAGGTAAAAGACGCACTTGATCGTCTTCCAAAAGCTCATGATTATGTATATTACTAAACTGCACAACAACCCATTGGGAAACACCATTCATAACCTCCTTAGACAAATACAATTTCGCATCACATCCACACCTCACCGATTTCCTATCTCTATGATGTTCACCGTTCGCCTTCTTCTTCACCGGTGCAAACCCGGATCGGTAACAAACAAAGTCACGCTTATAAATACCCAACTGAGGGCTAATTCTAGATCTTTCTTTCCTAATAGAGAAACCATTCTTCCTAGCGAAATTACCGTAATATTCAAAAGCTTCGTCGTCGGTCTTAAACACCATTCCAACATAAGGGGTAATGATAGCTCTACAAGATGATCTTTTATCTGGCTTCACTGATTCTGGTACTGCACAATCCTCCTTAGCAACACCTTCATGTGTAATGTAACACTTCCAATCTCCACAAGGACATTGTTGCTTCCGAATCCATAGGTTTTTGGAATGCAAAGAAGCCATTCTTCCACATGAACTGAGCTTTGAAACAATTCAATCAAAAGGCTTATCATAAACATAAAAAATAAACAAAAGCATAAGACATTTTTACGAACTGACAGAAACACAAGCATAACACGGAGAAGGTGAAAACTGTGTAACCTAAACTTTGATCAAACCAAACACAAAGGTAACTAAGAATTTGATAACTAAGAATATTGTAAATTGCATACCAGAGATATAAAACCCTTGTTCTCTGATTCCTCTTCTTTTTTGTTTTTTTTCAGCTCCCGCTGTGTTGTTTGTGCTCGTTTACAGATTCACTGTAAATAAATCTAAATTGGATTTTCATTTATATCGCTATTTGAAATACACTTTATTCTAAAATTTGGAGTATTTAACGACACCTAACGTTTTTCATTAATTCTAAAATGCTTAAATGTAATTTAGATCTTCGCATTTTAATCAACTCGCGAGACTAGTTTTACCATACTCAAATCGAACAAAACAGTTTTTAATTTTTTTTCTTTTTTTTTTCAATTTTAGTGCTAACTTCATTTTACACTTACTGAGAGTGTCAATCTAAAAAATAACATTTATATGTCATTAAAATCATAAATTATTATTAAAAATACAATTTAAAATTTTAAAAATTTTTAAAAAAAATGAAAATTAATTGAAATAAAGGCATAACCCTAATTTTGTATTCCTTCTTATTCCTCGTTTTCGTCTTCTGCCTTCAATTCCGTCTTCTTCAAATTGGTTTTCAAGGTATTCAGAAATTTTCTTCCTCAATTTTGTCTTTCTCCTCGTTTTCTCCCTCCTCGTTTTTACTCGCTTATGTCTTCTTTCTCATCGTTTTCGTCTTTAAAATCGAAAGTCATAGTCATACACTGTGTCAAGTAACAGTTGTGCTTCACGAAAAAAAGATGTACGTTGCTTTTGTGATATTGATTCACTTCTCACTACTGCATGGACAAGTGAAAATCTCGGGTGTAGGTTTAATGGTTGTGTGTTATACAAGGTAAAACCGAGATTATGTCAAATGAAGATATAAGCATTATCTGAAACTCATAATTAATAATGTGTCACTTGTTTTTGAATGCATTTGCAGGGACAAAAGGGATGTAATTTCTTCAATTGGTACAATGAAGAAATGTATGTGCGTGCAAAGGAGGTGATTTTGTCACTAATTAAGAGAATTGATGAACTTAAGAAGAAGGATAATATAAAGCTGAAACAAGATGAGGATTTGAAAAAAAAGCTAAAGTTTTGTCAAGGATCGGTTGTTGTAGTTGTTGTGGTCATTATGTGATTTCTCTGTATTGTTAACTTGAAGACTTGAAGGCTTGTGTTTAGTAATGTTGATTATGTTTAGGTGTTCTTGTTTAGGTGTTAAATGTTTATGATTTGTGGTCTTGTTTAGATGTTAGATAAACTTTGAAGGCTTGAGCAGTTTGTTGTAATTTTCAATTGAACTTAAATGATGTTTAAATGAAAATGATGTTTGTGTTTTTATTTTTCCCTATTATGTAATGTTAAAACTAATTTTCATTAAGCAATAGTTGAATTAAACTAAATATAAATTACAGGCATTTTTGCAACCAAACATAGATTAATTGAAATTAGATAAATATCGAGCATAATTGTCATTACAATCAAGCATAATTGTCATTACATCACCAAAATAGTACCATAATTATAAAAAATAAAAATAAAAAGTTATGTTTGTGGAGCATACATTAAACCTATAAATTGCATCCACCTAAATACAAATACCAACTTAAGTGTAATCTATTGTTGAGATGGTTGTGTCTGTGGAGCTTGTGATCCCTGAGACACAACAACCTTAACCTCCCTAGCCTTTGTCTTGTGTTTCTTCTTTTTTGGCCAACACCAACAACATTCACAGTTGGGCCTGCAGACTGCACAGATGGTCCACTTGAACTAGCATTTCCTTTGTTTTCTGTTTGTTTTCTCCCTTTTGAACCTTCCTGTCAGTCACATTTTTGCCTTTACATGTCCTACTGTTATGTCCAAACTTATTACATTTTGTGCATTTCACTGTCTTCAGCTGTCTTTGTAGCACACCAATATTTCTTGACTCGTCATTGGACTTGTATACCAGTTAGGTCCCACTTACGACAAGCACAAGACTTTCCTTCCAAATTCACAATATATGTATCAATCTCATTAGATACACTAAACTGAGTCATTCCAATATCACCATGCCAAGTTACCTTCCATCCCCTTACAACTCTTTTATTTTTTTTCCAATTATTGCCTGAATCTTAGGACATATATCACCATTTTACCTTTCAAGCATCTGGCTCTACTTCATAATCCTCACTATTATATAATGCTTTACACCCTCAAGTATAGTGATTATTGGTTTCTCTCTTATACCAAGTATTTCCCTAATTAAAGCTTCACACATGTTGTTGACTTGTAAATCACATTGAGTGTAAGTGTTAAATGTTGATCTTGTCCATTATGCAGGTTGAACCTTAGCAATTTCAATGTAAGCCTCTCCATTTATGTCTTTCATTTTCTACATTGCATGGTTCCAATCTGATACAGTAGTAGCTCTTACAGCTTTCCACAACAACTTCTTCGTGCGTGCTTCTGGGAATCTCTTCTTCCAATCCCCATAAAGATGCTTAACACACAACCTGTGTTCCACATTCTCACTTAGTCCTTTAATTACCCCCACATGTCCCTGACAGATCATATACATAGAGTTACATACAAGTAGAAATATAAGCAATTGCATATACATATAGGTAGTTACATACCTTTTGCTGGTCGGATATAAATGCATATTGTCTGGGGATAATTTGATTAAGATCTTCCAAAAATATATCAACAAACCACTTCCAAGAATATATTGTTTTAGATTCAACCACAACATATGCAATATATATCATCTGGTTGTTTTCATCCTTGCCTACAACTGCTATAAGCTGACCACCATGTTCACCTTTCAAGAAAAAAGCATCCAACCCAATTAATGGTCTACACGTGTAAGCAAATGCATCCTTACAAGCTTCTAGAAAAATATAGATCCTCTCAAAAACATGTCTTATTTCAGATGTCCCGCATTTGATTATCATTGTGCTATTAGGATTTGACCTTCTAAGCTCTTCAGTATAACTCCTTAAGTGTGCATATTGCTCACTACCACCATCTTATATCAACTTCATTGCTCTCTTCTTTGCCATATATGCTTGAAAATGGTTGAGCTTAACATTCCACCTAAGAAATGTCCCATCAGCCAATCCACTAGGTTTGATATGAGGAGTGTGCCTAATCAATGGATTAAACTTCTTTTCTATCCATTTAGTTCTAGCTTGTTTATTCTCAGCAGATCTAACACATTCATGATCTTTTTTCAATCTTGTAACTTGCCAATATTAACTTTTACTCCTTTTAGCAACTAACATATGATATGGGCAAGTTGGTTGACATTTCACAACCACCCTGACTACATTATTTTTCTTGAACCATAAATTTGTCCTTGTTTCCATAGCATGATCCTTGACAACATCCATAATAAGGTCCTTTGAAGCAAACTGCATACCCACCTCAAACCAAATAGGATCATCACTTTCAGGAACTTTGAAAGTAGGGAAGTTCCTTTTGTGAACGACTTCATCATCACTTCCATCTCATATACTAGACCTTCCACAAACACTTTGACTGGGAAAGTTACAAATCTACCCTCATGGTTAATACGTATCTTCAACTTTTGGTCCTCACTTGCCTGTGCATATCACAACCACAAAAATTCGTCAACAATAAAATAACCATCAAGCAAAAAGACACAATACACACATGTGGACCACTTTGAATAAACAACTCAAAAAATAGATAGCAACACAATTTACACAATAACAAAAAAAACCCTAATTTCTCAACCAAGATACAAACAAATCATCTACTTTATTCAACTCAATAACCAAAACCCTAATTTATACGAATTGTTACATACCTGAAATAGTAGTTTGGGTTCTGCTCTTTGTTCCACCATGCCATTCGATCTCCATCTTTTTCATTTCCCTTATCTGCCATGGTTGAATCGATTTGATGGAAGGAAGGAAGAAGATGGTTTTTTGTTCTATAAAATCGTGTTTGGGAAGGAAGGAAAGCAAAATCAACTTGGGAATTTTGGGACATAGGGTTTCTATGGGATTATAATTTCTTGTTTTTTCCATATTTTAAAAATAAATTTCATGAATTTATAAATGACATTTCCAAATACGCATTTCCACATAGGTGTTCTTTTGGCCACATCAATTAAAAATTCGACACATCAAAGTTTTTGAAGGGGAAAATGGGGGTTAGAACTAAAATTGCAAAAAAACAAGATACTATAGGGATTGCTTTGTTCGATTTGAAAAAGGCCAGATCATTTTTGTGAGTTGATCAAAATGAGAGAACGGAAAGTGCAATTAATCCATTCTAAAACTATCGTTGGACAAAATTGGATCAAAGTGTGCGAATAAATTTCTGATAGTTTATTGAAAATTTCTAGTATAATTTAAAATTTTTGAAGTTCATTTTTTTATACCTTTATTTTAAATTTTTCATATCTTTGAAATAATACTTTTATTTTTTAAGGGTCGCATATGTCTCGTCCAATTCATCAGCAATAGGAAACACATATGTCCTGACCACCTTAGCAGTAATAAGGGTCATATCTATCTCATCCAGCTCATCAACAATAGGAGTTGCATTTGTCCCATCCATCCCAAAAGTAATAAAGGATGCATATGACTTGTCCACCTCAACATGAGCAGTCTCAGTAACCTCCTCATCTGAATTGTTGATGGGTTGCACGTCACCTCTAACAGCTCGGTTTCATGTGCTACGAGGTGTGCGAAAGAACTGTACAGACAATTGTATCCGGTGAGAATAAGTTTGAGCTACTTTCCCTGCCTGTAGTTGCAAAGACTCTACCTCAGCTGCCCTAGCACGGACCATTGATGCCTCTCTACCCGTGATCCTGAAAGTAATAGAATCAT